GGTAGATTTGTCCACAAATTATGATACATACTACTATGAACAGGTTCAGAATATTCATCGAGTCCTGTTCGCCATGTATAATTCCATTGACCACCTAAATCATTTTGTTTTTCAAAACATACTATTTCAGGAATTTGAGAACCACTTTGTCGAGCTGATTCAAATGCGTGTAACTGACTAAGGCCAGATGGACCTGCTCCGCAAATTGCAATTCGAGTTGATGAATACATATCGTCAACTAAGATACAAACAGAAAATATCTGAAATGCAATTAGTAAATATTAATGTTACGATTAGGAAATAAATAATCGATATGTGAAAATACTTTTTTGACCATCCGGAGGGTATGGATGTGGGTATTTCTACTTAGGACAATCCAAAAGTAGTGGCCCAGGTACCTTATTTTCTTACAATAGACTTGTTGAGATTTTCTTCTTATATGAGATGATAGAGAAAAACGAAGCTCTGTTTTTCTATGCTATTTGATCGCTATTCAACTGGTACCATAATAATAAAATTTCGATAAGAACTGTTTTTGTATAAAACATAACTATTACATTCGATCATATTTTCATCTGTGTATTTTCTTTTTGGTGGTTTTCCTTGTTCTTCCTCTTCACTTTATTTTCTTCTTTTTTTTTCTCGTCTCTTCTAACACCTGTCCCTCTACACATGGATATACACATATGTATATGAAGAGATCTGTCCAACTTGTTTCGTGAGTATGTGAAGTTTAGTCAAGTGTTTTCAGATATGTCACTACAATAGAGTAGCGTGTTAAGTAGGATCCTGATCCTTTTGTCCTTCCTCTTTCACTGTCATGGCTGTGATATGACAATATCATCGAGATGCACATGTCTATTTTCTCTTCCATTCTGTTGGTATGTATGAAGAACACACGCTATATTTCTCTCTCTTATCTTCTCATATATTCAGGTTATCCAAGTGCATTTTCTCTTTTCTGTTCTGTAGTACTCTCTCTCCAGATGGACTCATCTCTCTCTCCTTTCATCTGACTCATGATCTTCTGGAATGTTCTTCGATAGCCGAGTTCAGATATATATACCGGCCACTTTAGACGGAGAGTTCAGTTTTGCGTATATTAAGCTTGTAATCACTTTGAGTTAATAAACAGGTCGCAAGAAATCACTTCACAAGGGTTAAATTTTAATACTACTCGTTGGTTTTAAATGGATAAAGAAAACTTTCTGTCTTATATTAAAACGTGTACTGCACTTAATATCCCAGCAAGAGTTGTTCAAAATGAAGTGTATTCTGTCGATGGTGATCAAGCTCCTTCATTTAGAACAGTTAGAAGATGGAAGAAATGGTTTCGTGAAGGCCGGGAAGGAGTCGAAGATGAAGCACGACCTGGCAGACCTATTACCAAAATAATATATGAAAATATTGAACAAGTTCGTCTTCTTATTGATGATGATCCTTACATGACAATAGAAGAGATGCAGGAACAAACTGGCCTAAATTACGGCACCACTCAACGAATCATCTTCGACCATTTACAGCTTACAAAAAATTACCGCTCGTTATATTCCTAAGCATCTGACTAATTTTCAGTGCGCTGATTGAGCTCAGATATGCAAAGAAAACTTTGAAAACTTTGAAAAAAATATGGCGCTTATGTGATGTGGTGACTGGTGATGAGTCATGGTTTTATCACACACAAATTGGTGGCAAATCATCAAATGCTGCTTGTGTGGCAAAAGAAGATCTTTCACCTACAGTAATTTGACGTGATATGTTCGCTCCAAGAACCTTATTTTCCATCTTTTTTAATTTTCACAAAACTGTATTCGATTATCTTCAATCAAAAGATATCACAATAATACCACATCCACCTAATTCTCCAGATCTTGCACCATGTAATTTTTGGTTATTCGATTTAATCAAACAAAATATAGGTGATCAAAACGATGCCGAATCCTTGCATGATGCTGGGGTGTGTGGGTGTGGGTGGGTGTTGGTGTGGGTGTGGATGTGGGTGTGGGTGTGGGGTGGGTGTGGGTGTGGGTGTGTGGGTGTGTGGGTGTGGGTGTGGGTAAGGGTCTCTTCACCTCATCCACACAGACCCCAAACCCACACCCACACCCTCTAATTTTGCATAAAAGGTTACCATATTAAACAGCGATTCTAAGGATATGTCGTTGCTCACGTGCAATCGCTCGTATATATTTCAAGCGACCATACACATCAAGTAAAAGTGGTATAATTAATATCAATTTCAGTTTACTCGTTCATCGCGACATCTTAAAAATATAATTGCGAGTTTTTCATAATTGTTATTGGCTTCTTCAAATCGACCTTCTGCGTTCTGTTGATCAGCTAAACTTTCCAAATAGCTTGTTAACTTCTTGTCTTCAGCCAGGCGAAGCAAGAATCCATTTGAACGCCACTTCAGCATGCAGTAATGCGAATCTTCTTGTAGTTGTAGTTTCCAATATTCTATAAGTTTTACCTTCATTGGTAAAGTGTCCGCTTCGATGTACTGCTCAAAATCCGAAATGTGTTGACCGATATCATCAAGTAATTTAACAAAAGGTTTATCGAATATGCTCATCTCACCATCATTGAGTAATTGTTCGTATCGTTCTAGTGCTTCTTCGTAATGTAAAAATGCATCGCTGTAAGGTCCGCTCAGGAAAGCGGTTACTGCCAAACAATGGTGCTTGATTGCTTCAATCACTTGTTGCTGTTGCGGGAATAATTTGTGTAATTCACGGAAGATGATATTCAGTTCTTCTACAGGCGGATTACTCATGCCATTAGCGATTTGCAAAATGTTAGTGACACAGTTTTTTGTACTGTCAGTTGAATCCACATCGTATTCTCTGGAAAAGTAGTTATTCGTAAGCTCTAATTGCACGATGTGGAGAGGCAGTTCGTACAACACTTCAGTAGGTTGAAAACCGGTAGCGGCCATGAACAGAACTTCCTGTTCATCCCCTATAGCCGAAATATCAGAAATGTTTCCAAAAGGAAGCGATTTATCCCGGTTATTCAAATCAATTTTAAACAGTACGCTTTTCAGTCCATCGTGACGTGTTGCTCCTGACTGATCTACGAAAATCAAAGCCGCTTCCTGATCAACTGTTGTCGAAAAGAAACTGTTAATAATAAGCGAGCTGCCCCATTTTGACATTTTTTGAAGTTCCTCGAGCTCTTCCTTGGATATCATTTGTCCCCGATAAACTGTAATTCTTTCTTCTGGCGAGGTAGAATTCTTCCATTTGTCATACTTCTCTGTCAATTGCTTGTGCATATCTTTTATGACGAAACCAAAAAGTAATACGACTTCGACGTTCTTTTGACGTAGTGCGCGATTCAATAGGCGATAGAGAAACGTGTCGCATGTATACCACTTAATAGCATCTGCTGACTTATAAGTTTCTGCAAATTCTTTTATCTTTCTGAGTTGAGCTTCGTTACCCAGGTAATATTCTTTCAAAGCTGCTACAAGTGTTTCACGGCACTTTGCAGGATATTCCAAACGACATATCATATTAATGAAGCCCTTCCACCATTCCGTGAGCCAGTAATCTGTTGATATATTTTGCCTTCCGACAGGACT